AGGGAAAGGGAGGGGGGAGGGGAGGAAGGAAGGAACAAAAGTCATCATTCTTCGCCTTAGCCTTGGTGGAACTGCCTTTCAAAGGGACACAGGAAAATGAACAAAATCCTCACTTCCAGAAAAGCAGTTTCACTTCTCAGTATCAACACTAGAGAAATATGCCTAGGGTGAACAGGAGTATCCATTGCAGCAAAATATTGGAAAAGATCTGAATGTCCATCAATCGGGATAATGCTTAACAAAAGCAACGAAAACTTATGAGGAAGATTTAAATATGCATGGGCAATATGGAAAACATCCAAGACTTGTTGTTGAATAAAAAGGATCAAGTAGCCATATATAATAGTATATACATATGATACAGTCATGTCAAACAGAAACTCATAAAACAATGTCCATGTATTTTCCATAGATGCGTGTGTGTGTGTGTGTGTGTGTGTGTGTGTGTGTGTGTGTGTGTGTGTGTACATATATACACATGCATGTGTGGATGCCAATGTGTAGAGAAGAATCTGGAAGAACATACTTTATGAAGTTTATACTGATCAAAGTCGCCAACTCTTGTTGTAGGGAGTTGCAGGTGAAGAGTTCGAGATTTAGAGTCGAGATCAAAGGAGACTTTAGGCTTTTCTGCCATTCTGTTTTGGGTCAAGAACATTCTATGTGGTCAAAATTTAAGTTGAATGTAAGAATAGAGCCAGGTGTGGTACCTCATGCCTGTAATCCCAGCACTTTGAGAAGTTAAGGTGGGCAGATGGCTTGAGTCAAGTTCAAGACCAGCTTGGACAACATAGCAAAACCTCGTCTCTACAAAAAAAAAATTTTTAAGTAGCCAAGTGTGGTGGTACATGCCTGTAAATCCTAGCTACTTGGGATGCTGAGGTGGAAGGATCACCTGAGCCTGGGAGGTTGAGGCTACCATGAGCCATGATCATCATGATCACTCCAGTCTGTGCAACGGAATGAGACTCCACCTCAAAAAAAAAAATAAAAAACAACCCAGAACAGAGATGGGGGATCCCTTCTCACAGCAAGGTGTTGTGTACCTCATTAGTCCTTAAGTGAGCACCTGCCATCCATCCGTTGGTAAAATGTGCCATGCGCCTTTGTTTGTGCCAGGCACTGTGTTAGGAATCTAATAGTGGGCAATAATTCAGGTCCCTGCCCTAAGTTTATTTCTAAGAGAGAGGACATTGAACAGGTACTTCCAAAGGTGGTAAAGGTGAGGAGAAGAAGAGGGTGGTATAAAATTGGGCACAGGGACAGCCTAGGCTGGGGAACGAGATGGGAAACCAAGGAACTGACACTTATGCTGTGATCAGAAGGGAGAGAAGAGGGACTGGTTAGACTGGGTGCGGTTGGAGGGCAGGACTGGGACAGGAGGGGGGGGCGGGGGCGGCTAGGGATCCTAGGAGAGGAAACAGCAAGTGATAAACAGAACAAACAAGTGGCTTTGGGACTAGAAAAGAAGGCAGCTGGGCAGGAGTGAGACCCAGGAGAGTGTGCACCAGAGGAGGCTGGAGTGGCACGGCAGGGCCGCTCAAGGGTTTGGACTGTGTCCCAGGACTGCTGGGAAGCCGTTGAGGGTTTTAAGTAACACAGTCAGATTTGCCTTTTGCTGAGATGTCACCGGCTGCTGTGACATCAGGAAGGGGAGAGAGACAAGGATGAATGGGGGAGACCAGACAGAAGGCTAATGCGGAAACCTGGGCAGGGGATGAGGGTGGCTTGGATGGAGGTGAGAAGTGGGTGGATCTGAGAAATATTTAGATCCTGTGTGAGATACCGGAAAAGAATTGCCCCTTACTGAGCATCGTGTAATCAGTTCACAAGGTCTCATTAAATCCTACAACTGAAAGGGACAGCAAAGGCAGCAATATTTACCCCGTTTGGAGGATGGGAAACATCCTGGATAAGAGGAGGGAAGGCGTCCTTGGGAGTGTTCTCGCTCAGGTGTCCCCGGGTCCACCACCTCCACCCACACCCCACAGCCCACACACTCACTGGTATGCAGCCAGCTGGTGAAGGTCAGTGAGCAGTTCTGCACGTCGAAGGGGAAGTTATAGATGTCAAGGCTACAGGCGGTCACCACCTGGAGGGGCTTGTAGTTCTGGACCTCGCCATGATGCCGGACATACACATACGGGATATCTGGAGATTTTCCCACATCCACGCTGGCCAGGAAAGAGGGGTCAGTTTGGAGGCTCAAAAGACAGGTCAAGCCCTGGAAGTCTGAAGATCTCCAAGCAAGCCAGTAGGGTTGACAGCAGGACAACCTGGATAGCTCTGTCTGTTCTCAGTTTCCCCAACCTTCGTATCTTAGGCTTCCTGCCCTGCCATTGTCAAGGTCACTTTCCAAGACATTTCTCCTTGATTGCCCTGGCTACCTGGCCACAAAAGGCAGGGAAGAAAACCCAAGGACCTAACAGCCATGGGTGGTAAAGAGCCTGCCCGGCTGCCCTCACAGTGTGAACTTTCCCATACTCCCTAGGCTGGGCAGAGCTTAGCTCTCAGGGTCAACAGCCCTGTGGCGATGGGCAGGTTTGGTGGGGGAGCAGAACCTTGTGTTCCATCCTGACTCTGGCTTCTCTCTGCTTCCCATGCTTAGGATCCTTTAAAATGGCTGGGTGCGGTGGCTCAACCTATAATCCCAGCACTTTGGGAGGCCGAGGAGAAAGGATTACCTGAGCCCAGAGGTTCAAGACCAGCCTGGGCAACTTGGTGAGACCTCGTCTCTACAATTAATCACAAAAAAAAAAATTAGCTGGGTGTGGTGGTGTGCGCCTGTAGTTCTGGTTACTTGGAAGGCTGAGGCAGAAGGAAGGCTGAGGCAGGTCAGGACTGCAGTGGCCATGAGCATGCCACCGCTCTCTAGCCTGGGTGACAAGAGTGAGACTCCAACTCAAAAAAAAAATTCTTTAAAATGAGAATCATCATCTCTGAAGGGACAGGATCTAGAGAAATCACGGGTAAGAACTGAAGGAAGCCAGAAAAGTCTCACAAGACCTCATCTCACTCTTTTGGCTGACCTCTGACCTGTAGCCCCCCCCCAAGTGAATGCTGAGCACTGTGGCAAGGAGTGGGCTGAGCCTCCAGTTTTCTGTGGAATTAGGGGTGAGAAGTCAGTACTGAGGCTACTTCACTGCTCAATCTAGAGATCCAGCCAGAAACTCCAGAACTCCTGCAGGCTGAGCTTTGCAGAGCCAGCTGCTTCCCTTGGGAAATGTCAGTGGCATCCCCCGGAGTTGGGCAACGCAGTGAACATAAGGTGGAGGGCAGTTGGCACCACTTGTCGCTGTCCATTTTCCACCCATCTCCCCCAGTCCTCTTCCCTGCCCTTGAGCTCAGAAGCCCAGTGTGTGGGCCCTGGGTGAGCCTGGAGGCTGGGGAGAAGGTATGTTGGCCAGGGCCGGATGGGTCGGTGTTTGGCTGGGGGGACCCATTTTTGTATTGAAGGAGCAATCTGTGGCCTGTTAGGCACATGTGACTTGTGAGGTCTGAGTGTGTGTGTGTGTCCACTAGCTCCAAATTTCCCCTGTGACCAGGAGTGGTGGCCACCTTCAGTGCTCAATTTCTGAAAGAAATTGAAGAAATTGTACGGTCCCCTTTAAAAGTGTCGGCATCCCCATAAGGCTATTTCAACTCAGTGTGCATTAGTTCACTGGCTTCTTTCTCCATGACCCGGGCCTTTGGACTAAGAAGTACAGAGTGTCACATCAGACACATAAAAAAGAGGACTTTAAAAATACAAAAGAAAAAAATGCTAAGGGGTAATTTTGTGCTCAAGCTACCTTTACTTACAGTCTGCTAGTCTGAGTGGGACGTTCCAAATGCAATAGCCACCATCTTGTCTCCCAGCTCCCCCACCCTACTCCACCACTCACCCCGGCTTCTCCAGCCCCCAAGTCAGCCAGCTGGCATCTGGCCACAGTACTCACAACTCATTGATGAGAATGTCTGGGACCCAGATGCTGTCCGTGGGGATGGACAGTTTGGTGATGTTGTCAAAGTCCTCAGGGCTCCACTGGAGAAACTCATCGGTCCAGTACTAGGAAAGGAGCAGGGACAGTCACAGGTAGCCTCCTCACCCGTGAGGGTCACAGGTCAGGCAGGCATCCCCCTCAGTGCCTGGGTACTTCCTGGGAAAGACTGGGTGTTGGTGGCACCCAAATTCTTCAGCAGTAACTGAGAGTCCCTCACTTCCCTGCAACACAGACAGACGCAGCCCTGCCCAGGAAGGGCACTGAGTCACCTCCACTGCTGAGTCTTGTCTTCACTGACAGAGGCATCACAGACAAATACTTCTTGGGTCTGGTCTAACATATGTAAATGCAGATAATAACACTCACCTCACAGGGCAGAAACAGTTATTGTTAAGTGTTTATCAGTGTATTCTCCAATCTCATGCCAGAAGGACCAGTCTAAAATGTAAATTTAATCATATCATTTCCTTGCTAAAAATTCCTCAACGGCATCCCATTGCCCTTAAGATAAAGTTAGGCCGAGTGCAGTGTTCATGCCTGCAATCCCAGCACTTTGGGAGGCCGAGGCAGGAGAATTACTTGAGCCCGGGAGTTTAAGACCAGCCTGGGCAACATAGCAAGACCTCGTCTCTACAAAAAAATAAAAAGATTAGCTGGATGTGGTGAGGTGCGCCTGTAGTCCCAGGTACTCGGGAGATTGAAGCGAGAGGATCGTTTGAACCCAGGAGTTTGAGGCTGTGGTGGGCCATGATTGCGCTACCGCACTCAAGCCTGAGTGACAGAGTGAGACGCCAACTCAAAAAAAAAATAATTAAAATTAAAATGTACATGTGATCATGTCACTTTTTTGCTTAAACTTTTTCAATGGCACCCAATGGCTCTTAAGGTAAAGTTAAACCTTGCAGCCAGCAAAGGCCTATATAATCTGGCTTCCTATCTCAGTCCTGCCTCTCTGTGAAGTCTACACTCCAGCCATGTGAAATGAAACACTGCTCAACCCGCCAAATCTCTGTCTACACTGCTCCCTCTCCCATGCTGCAATCCCCGGCTTCTTCACCAAGGTTAGTTCTCCTCATCCTTCCAGATGCAGCCAAGGCGTCTGTCTGCTCCCTTCTCCAGGACAGCTTCTGTGACTCCCACACCCCAGGCTGGATGATCCCTGCCTCCTCTGGACTCTCACAGGTGGCATCTTGTCCTTGCAGCACTGGGGCAGCTGTCCTGTTGCATTTCAACGGTCCGTTCCCATGTCTGTTGCTTTCCCTAGTCTGTGAGCTCAATGTGGACAGGGCCTAAGTCTAGCTTGTGTCTCTAATTCCAGTGCCTTAGCACAACCGCTGATGTGTAGTCGACTGACATTCCCTCACCACTGGCCGCACACAGCTGGGGTGGGCAAGTGACCTTGGCGCTCCAGAGGTGAGACCTCGGCTGAATGTCCCAGGGAGAAGAGCTCCTATTCTTGTTTGGGCCCTTTCCCTGGGTCAGCTCTGTCTTAAGGGAGCCCTCTGTGAGGCGGAAATGGGCCAGTGTCTCAGGCATCAGCATTCTGGCTTCTTCCTTCACCCGACTCCTTGTGGGGAGTGTGCCCAGGAGTCATTGGGAGGCATTTAACAGAGACCCACATGTGCCAGGGGTGTTCTCCAGAGCCTCCCAGGCTTCACCCCATAAGCTGTCCTCATCGTCCTCCTGTCCTCATCTCTTCAGCCACTTTAGTCTCCTCTCTTTTTTTTTTTTGAGTTGGAGTCTCACTCTATAACCCAGGCTGGAGTGCAGTGGTACATTCATAGCTACTGCAGCCTTGACCTGCTGGGCTCAGGTGATCCTTCTGCCTCGGCCTTCCAAGTAGCTGGAACTACAGGTGGCCACCATCATGCCCGGCTAAATTTTTTTTTTTAATTGCAGAGATGAGGTCTCACTAAGTTGCCCAGGCTGATCTGGAACCTCTGGGCTCAGGTAATTCTCTCACCTCGGCCTCTCAAAGTGCTGGGATTATAGGTTTGAGGTGCCACACCCGGCCTCTTCTTTTTTTTTTTTTTTGAGCCAGAGTCTCACTGTGTTGCCCAGGCTGGAGTGCAATGGCACCATCAAGGCTCATCGTAGCCTCGATCTCCTGGGCTCAGGGGATCCTTCCACCTCCGCCTTCTGAGTAGCTGGACAACAGGCACACACCACCACACCCAGCTAATATTTTGATTTTTTGTAGAAACAAAGTCTCACTGTGTTGCCGAGACTGGTCTCAAACTCCTGGGCTCAGCAATCCTCCTGCCTCAGTCTCCTAAAATGCTGGGATTACAGATGTGAGCCATCATGCCTGGCCTAGTTTCCTCTGACTTCTTCCCTACAACCTCAGGGGCTGCCAGAACAGAACCCTGTGGGCAGCAGCCTCTGCTGTTGGCCTCCTCTCCTGTACCAGCTTGAGGCCAGAACTCCTGCCAAGGCTTGATTGGCATCCACGCATCAGAGCCTGACCCATGCCCTTCAGAAGCTGGGAAAGTGGGGAGATGGCTGAGGATGTGAAGACTAAGTGGATGGAATGGACCATCCTGTTTCAATCAACCCATTTGGTTGTTGTCCAATTTGGCTTAATATCAGGAAGAACTGTCTAGCAACCAGAGCTGTCTGAGAGTGAAGTGGCTGCCTCGTGAGTTCCCAGGCATTGGAGGTGTTCTTTCAATAGGGCTTGGACAAGCACTGGCTTGGGATGCTGTGAAGAACTTTAGAAGCCAGAGAGGGATTGGAGGATGCCTTCCCACCTACCTTTAAGCTTCCTCCCATTTCCGGTCCTGAGATGAGAAGATTCCAGACTCCTAGCTCTCTCATTGAGGGTGCCTCTGAACATCTCCCCTCACCTTCCCCCACCAAGGCCACAGAGACTCCTGACTCCTTCCAGGGAGGGTAAGTCCTCATCCCAGGAAGTGGGGGAGGGGAGGGTCTGGTCTGCTCACCTGCCGGTACCAGATGTAAGTGGTCAGCACCTGGTTCTTCTCATCCTGGGGAAAAAAGGGAGCTCAGACAGGTGGTTCTGCTGGCTGAACAGCCATCCTGCACACATCCCTCCCCAAAAGCAGCTGCTTCATTGTGCTCCTATTCCCTTGGGAAGTGAGAGTGAGGAAGAGGGCTGAAGGTGACAGGAGAGTGAATAAGCCGGAGCTCTCTGGCTGCCAGGAAAAGTTGGACTTTTACAGGTATGCTTAGAAAGAAATACTGGGCCGGGCTCGGTGGCTCAGCCTGTCATCCCAGCACTTTGGGAGACCGAGGCGAGTGGATTGTCTGAGCCCACAGGTTCGAGACCAGCCTGGACAACTTGGCGAGACCTCATTTCTACAATAAATCAAAAACTTAGCTGGGCATGAGAACACGCCTGTAGTTCCGGCTACTTGGAAGGCTGAAGCGGAAGGATCACTGGAGCCCAGCAGGTTGAGGCTGCGGTGGCCGAGAGGCGTGCCACTGCCCTCCAACCTGGGTGACAGAGTGAGACTCCAACTCAAAAAAAAAAAGAAAGAAAAAAGAAAGAAAGAAATACTGGTGGTTTCTATTTCAACTTCAAATACATATTTATATATATTACATATCTATACACTGTATACTTTCTATTATCTTCTACTGTGTTATATCTCTATATAATATATACTCTATATAATATATTACCAAAATATATATTATGATACACACACACAACCTGCCCTGGTACGAAATCAAGAGGTTCAAAACCAGAGTGAAAAATCCATGTCTCCCTTTTCTCCGTCCAAGTCCCAGGTCCCCTTCTCAAAGCACCACAGTAACTAGTTTGTTGTGTGTCTTTCCAGAAAGGTTCAAAATGCAATGACTTCATCCCATATAGAGGTGGGGGTGTGTTTTCTGTAGAAGAGACTGTGAAGGCAGATCCCGCCCCCTGAGCCCAGCACGAGCCACTGCATCTCTTCAATTGCCTTGTTGTTTATTTCTGCACAATTCCTGACCTCCTCTTCTGAGCAGTACACCCCCACGCTACTGTGGTAATTGATGAAGGAATTGACTCATTGATCTGTTGGTTGATTCTTCACCAACCACTTAGTGACACCCGCCATACACCAGGGAGAGTGCCAAGATACATAGGACAGCTGACATAGATGGTTGTCACGATGTAATGAATGGAGAGACACACGCAGGAAGCAATCTGCTGGTGGTAGGGGTGTGAGAGAGGCAGCTACACGGGTGACCCTAGGTGCTTGGTTTGGGTAGCGGATGGTGCTGTAATTTGTCCTCAGCTGTGGTACCAGACCATAGGCACTATGGGTTCTGGAAGCTGCTGCTGCCTGGGGGAGACTTGGTCTCACATGGCCCTCTCCCACTCCCAAAAGGACCACCTCTGAACTGAGCGCTCACCACGTTGAGGATGGCGTAGACAATGACATCAATGGATACGGTGGTTGGCTTCCTCCAGTCCCGCACGGGCCTCACACTCTTCTTGTAGTTGGCCAGGAGGTAATCTGACAGCCTCAGCAGCGCGGGCCTGGTGGTGTTTCGGCCCTGGAGGCCCCCCCTCCGCCTGGCTGGGAAGGAGAACGGTTCAAAGTGGACTCTAGTGCCCTGAGTCTTTCCCTGGTTCTTCTGCCCTGGTTTGTAAACAGTTAAAAAGAATGTGTCAGCCGGGTCCAGTGGCTCACACTTGTAAGCCCTGCACTTTGGGAAGTGGAGGCAGAAGAGTCCAGGAATTCAAGAGCAGCTTGGACAACATAGCGAGATCTCATCTCTACAAAAAAAATTTAAAAATGAAAAAATTAGCCAGGCTTGGTGGCATGTGCCTGTAGCCCCAGCTACTTGGGAGGCTGATGCAGGAGGATCACCTAAACCTAGAAGTTGAAAGCTGCGGTGAGGCCGGAGGTGGTGGTTCAAGCCTGCAATCCCAGCACTTTGGGAAGCCGAGGCAAGAGGATTTCCTGAGCCCAAGGGTTTGAGACCAGCCTGGGCAACTGGGTGAGACCTCATCTCTACACTAAATAAAAAAAATTAGCCAGGCATGGTGGCGCAGCACCTGTAGTTCCAGCTACTTGGAAGATTGAGACAGAAGGATCACCGGAGCCCAGCAGGTCGAGGCTGTGGTGGTGGTGAGCGTACCACCGCACTCCAGCATGGGCAACAGAGTGAGACTCCAAATCAAAAGAAGAAAGAAAGAAAGAAAGCTGCAGTGAGTTATGATTGTGCCTCTACAAAATCACTCAGCCTGGGCAACAGAATGAATGAGACCCTGACTCAAAAAATAAATAAAGATAAATAAAAGGAATGTGTCCCCACCATCCTTGCCTCACAAAATTCCCAGATACCCCCACAGGCTGAAATTCCCATCACTAGAGCATTTTGTCTGCAGAGATTTTTACCAAAAGCCAAATGGCGTGTCTCAAAGTGGCCTACATACTCATTTACACGAGGGCAGGGGCCTGGCTTGTAGGTGACCCAAGACAGATGATGGGTGAAGTTGGCTGAGGGCTGAGAAAGGTGGAGTGGGTGCACCTGGGGGTTCTGGGGAAGGGACCCTGAGGAGCAAAAGGAAAGCTGGCCGTCAGTGTGTGGTACTAAGAGGTGAGAAGGATGTGAAAAAAGTGTAACAACCCCCCTCCCCGCCCCACCAAGCACACGATTTCTAAGCCCAGTGGTCAGAATCTGGGCTTTTCTCAGCCAAGGTCAGATCTCAGCATCTGCACAGATTATTGTTCCCTCCTTGACCACAGCCTGAAACTGGCAAAGAAAGAAGAAAGCGTGGACATTCAGTGAAAACAGACATTCCCTCTCTCTTCTGTCAGCGCCACCCAAGGGCATCCCCTCCCTCACGCACGCACACGCAATCTGTGTGGGGAGGGCCGGCCAGGTCTACTTCCTAGGGTCGCTGTATGGGCTAACTTGTGGGGCTCAGGAAGAGGGGTGGGGTGAGGAATGGTGGGAATGAGGAGAAGCCAAATTGCTCCCAGGGCAGGGTCCTACGGGGGCTAAATAGGACTAGAAGGCCCGACTCCTAAGGCCCTCCTCCTGTCCTGTGGGGATTTCATGTGCATCTCAGTCTTCCCTCTGGAAACAGTAGGGGCACTTCCTGGTGGGTGGTGAGAAAATAGAGGTGCAAATGCATAGAGTGAGGAACAGTGTTCAACCTAGAGGACCAGGGTACAGGTGGCAGAGAGGAGGCGAGACTGGCAGGATAGACCAGGGTCTTCCACAGATCAGGCGGCAACGGGTCTGGTTTTCACTAAACCAGGTTGCCTCATGTGTCATCATTTTTTGACACATTTGTCGCCCAGATTGGAGTGCAGTGGCACGATCACGGCTCACTAAAGCCTGGACCTTCTGGACTCAGGTGATTCTTCTGCCTCACCTGAACCAGGACCTGAGGCCACAGAGGTACACCACCACACCCAGCTAATTTTCTGACTTTTTGTAAGGACAAGGTCTTGCTATGTTGCCCTGGCTGGTCTCAAACACCTGGGCTCAAGCAATCCTCCTGCCTTGGCCTCCCAAAGTGCTGGGATGACAGGCATGAGCCACTGCCTCTGGCCACACCTGTCATCTTTTGTGCAATCTGTACAGCACATTAGTCCTGCAGATTCTCCCTCCTGTCTCTCACCCCTCATCCCTGATAAACTTCCGGCTTCTTTCGGAAGGACAGAGAAGAGCAGAGAGAAAGGGAAACCAAGAGACTATTTTTTTAGTGTCTCCTTTGGAATAACTTCAGTGAACATTCTCTTCATTTTCATTTTAGGACAGTCTACCAGAGTGGCTATTTACAGGGTCAAAGGCTCACAGAAGTAAGCTCCGTGCCCTGCAAGTGGAAAATCTGAGATCCACATCCGGATCCCAGCTGGACATTGTGACTCACGCCTGTCATCCCAACACTTTGGGAGGCCGAGGTGAGAGGATTGCTTAAGCCCAAGAGTTTGAGACCAGCCTCAACAACATAGCAAGATCTTGTCTCTACAAAAATAAAAAAAAATAAACCAGGCATGGTGGCAGGCACCTGTAGTCCCAGCTACCTGGGAGGCTGAAGTGCAAGGATTGCTTGAGCCCAGGAGCTTGAGGCTGTGGTGAGCCCCGCACTCTGCTGCTAACAAGCTGTGTGGCCTAGAGTGGCTTACTCTCCCTTTCTGGACCACAACATTCCCATTTATAACAGCAAGGGATGGACCAAGGAACTCAAAGCTCCCTTGGAGCAGCTATTCAATAAGTTTAGGGCAGGGTAAAGAGGAGAAGAGCCCCTCTCCTGGCCCCTGCTATGTATATCTGAGATGCTGGGCTACTCTTCTGTCCCCCCTCTGTGAGCCCCACTCCTGCCCTGCCCCAGGGATCACCTTCCAAGTCTCTAACTCAACCACAAAGTCTCAGAATGCCCTTATGCTCATACGTGGTGAGATGGTTGACCTTCCTACAGCCCACCCTGCTTCCCTCCAGCCCCTGAGGACTGAGCCATCCCCGTCCTACCGCCACAGGTGGCCAACTGGTTCCCAAAGCCCTCTTACCTTCTCCCTGCGCCAGGAATGTGGGGAGGAGCAGGACAAGCAGGACCCACGGAAGCATGGCGAGCTTCACACGCATGGGAGGGCCTCCGAGTGGCCGCTCAGGGTGTGTCCCAACAAGGGCCAGCCTGTCAGCCCTTTGCCAGCCTCCTGCCCCAGCCAGCTTGCCTCCCTGGCACCTTCTGAGGTTGCAGCCTCGGATTCCCCAGCCACCCGGGGTTGGGGAGCCGCCAAGTTTTCCAGCAATCAGTCCCTCAGCTGGATCAGGTTTCGGAAGGGAGGGAAGGGGAGGGAACAGTTGAGAAGGGGGGCCACCCTGGCTGATGTCACACAGTCGGAGCTCACTCCTTCAGCTATCCAGCCAGGTGGCTTGGCCATGTTTCCCCGAGGAGGAACCTGGGGATGGTTCCTCCCCAGGAACCCATGCAGGAGCCCGTGGAGCAAGGGTGCAGCCTGTCTCCTGGGAGATGCCCCAGGTTGCTGCTTTCTCTGTGTCCCTTGGCAAGTATGTTTCACTGGTACTGGGCTGGGACAGGATAGGGTGGGTCAGACAAGAGCAGGAGGGCTGTTCCCTTCTCCCCAGGGTGACAGAGCGTCCCCAGCCAAGCAGGTGACTGGGCATCTGAGCTGACAGAGGACGGGTACCTGGGTTCACCACAGGTCTACCCTTTTTGTCTTCATCTAGTCATACTTAAATAGTAAAACACATATAGTAAAAATCTATGTATTTTTACCATACACATTTCTTTTACACATTTTTACGATGCATAGTAGTTATGTATAGTAAAAAACAATAGTAATACCTGCACATTATAGAAAAAGTAAAATCATCCATAAGTTTACTACCCAGAGACAGGAACAGTTAAAATTTTGTTGTATAATCTTCTATAATTTCCTTCTATAATATGTACTCAATGAAGAACTATCCCACACATATAATTTTCTTTCCCCCCTTTTTTGCTTAATATTATTTCTTCTTTCTTTGTTTCCTTCTTTCTTTTCTTTTTTTTGAGTCTGGGTCTCGCTCTGTCACCCAAACTGCAGTGCAGTGGCACAATCAAAGCTTACCACTGCCTTAACTGCTCAGGCTGAGACAATCCTTCCATCTCAGCCTCCCGAGTAGTTGGGACCACGGTATGTGCCACTAAACCTGGCTACATTTTTTATTTTTTGTAGAGACAAGGTCTTGTTGTGTTGCCCGGGCTGGTCTCAAACTCCTAACCTCAAACAATCCTCCCACCTCAGCCTCCCAAAGTGCTGGGATTACAGGAGTAAGCCACCATAACCAGTCCATAAGCATTTTCAATACTTTCTTTTAAATGTGGCCTTCTTGAAAGAAGTGTATATTTTCTCTTTGTGAGTTAAATAAACAAGCACCTATCCCTCAGGTATCCAACCATGTGCCCCTAAAGTTGCATGCAAAAAGAATTGCTGTGAATTTCTACTTGAAGGAGTGCGACCCCAGTTTACCATTTGGGTAAATGTGAACTTTTCTACCTCAAATGTATTGAAGGCAAGATGCCCCTGTACATTGCTTTTCCAGTGGAATCTAAGAGTGAAATAATAATAGGCCAGGAACACTATAGGAAGGAAGAATTTTTTGAATTGTAGTTAAGAGAAAAAAAAAAAAAGCCATGGTCAGGGCTGAGAACTCTCCAGTTCTTCTTGTGCACTATGAAATTGGCATATACCATTAAGCATTTGTTGATGGGGGTTCCTTCATATGGCCACTAGCCAGGGTTTGGCTCTGCAACGTTCAGTCATGTTCAGGGAGTTTGGGTTCCCCTTCTCTCTTTTTTTTTTTTTTTTTTTTTTTGAGTTGGTGTCTCACTCTTGCCCAGGTTGGAGTGCAGTGGCACACTCACAGCCACTGCAGCCTTGACCTGGTGGGCTTAGGAGATCCTTCCACCTCAGCCTTCCAAGTAGCTGGGATTACAGGCATGGGCTACCATGCCCAATGCAGCTTTTGATTTATTGCAGAGATGAGATCTCGCCAAGTTGCCCAGGCTGGTCTCGAACCCCTGAGTTCAGGCAGTCCTCTTGCCTCAGCCTCCCAAAATGCTGGGATTACAGGCTTGAGCCACCGTACCCGGCCTTCCCCCTCTCTTAAGTCTTATGTGCCTCATCATTGCACAATCCAGAAAAACAAGGAAAATCAGCTCCATGTGTTTCTTTTGGGGGAATGGACGTGAGGACAAGCGGTAGAATAGGGGGACCCAAACTGCTAGAAAATGTATGCAGCCAAGACCTCGCCCGAATGAAGGTACTCAGAGCCCAGCCTTGACAGCAGGACAAGGCAAGGCAAGAAGAGCCAGTCAGCCTCCTGGGCCTCCAAGGTCTAGAAGGGGTCCAAGCTCAGGTGAGCACTATGGATTACCAGATGTATCTTCAAGCCCAGCAAAGATTCTTTGGACCCTGCTCACCCCCATTTACAGCTGCAGATTCCTAGAGAAATTTCTCCTCTTGCTCACGTGTGTTATGCAATCTGTATAGAGCATTCTATCATTCACTGACGTTTCCTCATATGGCCATGTACAGATTTGGTCTTCAGCAATAACAGACCCACTTGGGGTTACCATTATAATTATTTCATCATTAAAGGATAATCAGGCTAGGCCAAGTGGCTAATGCCTATAATCCCAGTACTTTGGGACGCTGAGGATGAAGGATCATTTGTACCCAGGAATTCAAGACCAGCCTGGGCAACCTAGCCAGATCTCATCTCTACTAAAAAAAAAAAAAAAAAAAAATCAGACACTTAACCACAGTCCCACACCCTAACCACTATCCCCAAATGCTCCATTCTGTACCTTCTGGGGTGCTTATGTTTATCTCTACCTCTTGCTCCAAGCCTGGGCCTGTGTAGCCTGGGGCCTGTTCCTCCCACCGAGTTGAGCCATTTGGAGCCAGGAAGCGAAGAAGAATTCGGATTGAATGTGTCCTGGAAGGGGCAGCACTAAAACAGGAGGGAAAAGGGACAAGAAGAAACAGAAGGTGAAATATTATAAAAGAGGTTGGGAAGAAAAAAATAAAAGGAGCAAGAAGAAAAGGAAAATGAGACAAGAGGAAAGACAGGTAGGAAACCGAGGAAGAAAAGGAAGATCGGAGGGAAAGGCAAGGAAGGAGGGGAGAAAAGAGAGAAATGGAAAGAAAAAGGGGAGAAGAGGAGGAGGAGGAGGAGAAAGAGGAAGAAAGAGCGGAAGCAGCAAGAGGCAGCGGAACTGTGAACACAGGGTGGTCTGAGGATGGCTCGCCCCTCCCCACCATGGGACTCTGAAAGTGGGTTCTTCGCACTGCGGAGTGGGGTGCCAGCCATGGGGTGTGTTCAGACCCCCCACCCCCCAGAGGCCGTGAGGAAACCTAGAGCACTGGTCCCACAGGCCCCAAGCCTTCATTTTTGCATTGAGCTCCTGGGATCCTCTGGGACTGTCCAATTGGGTTAGAGAGGAAAGAGGATGTCCTCTGTACAGTGTGTGCATTAGCGAATTAGCTCCTTGGGTAACAGGATTAGAGGGAGCCTGGCAGGCCACAGCCTGGAATGGAGATGTATCGCCTGTGCGCCTCTCTGATGGAGCGGCAATCAAGTTTCCCCTGAAGAAATTTTCTATTAATGGATTTGATGGCACAACAGACAGGGGGAAACTGGAGCCGCGTAGCCTGTGGCGGGGTGTAAATTGCCTCGGATGAAACCGTGGAGTCACTTTTGCCCCCTTTTAAACAAGATAAGAATTAGCGTGAGGCCTTGATGAACTCGCCTTGGCCGGTGGGGATGAGAAAGAAGCAGAAGCTGGGCTAATTTGATTCCTGAGCTCTGCCTGCAGACAGCCAGGCTCCTCCCAGGGAATGGAGGCAGACGTGCAGATGGCTGGGATCCAGCCTGGGTAATGAAAAGCTCCGAGACTGCAGGACCCACAGGCCTAGGGCCCTCCCTGTGCGTGCGGGGGCTCCCAGCCTCACGGGGAGGAGGGTTGTGCTCACACATGGGCCAGAGCTCCCCACCCCGATGTACACTGTCCTACCCCGCATCACTTTTTCTTGCCCCCATTTTCTGGGTTAAAACACAGAGCCCAGTGGGCCTTCATGACTCGCCTTCATGCCACAGCTGCGTATAGATGGAACTGAGATCTTCCAGACTCCTGGCTCCAGCGTTTTCCATTACAGTCGTGTTTCCCTTTTTCTGCAGTAAAATTTTACTAGTCTGTAAAAGTTTTACCACCAAAGAGCCTGACCTTTTAAAACCTATAAGCTTACCAAAATTGCGACCCATAGTAACATCTGGCCCCACTAGGAGCCCACCTGCTAGGGAAGAGCTGGGGGAGGGTTATGGTTTGTCATCACGGTACTCAGTGGAAGATGTATCTTCATCTTACCCCTCAGCTTGAGGAGCGGGGACACGGAGCCCCTTTGGTTGGACACCTGGGTTTGGCACTGGCTCGCACAGTGTCCCCAAAAGACCCACTTCTCTCCGCAAGATCTCAGATAGGGAGGGCAGGCAGGTGCACTTTTACTACCATCCGGTTCCAGGAACCTGACACATCTTCCCATGGGGGTTGAAAGATGTAGGGGTTGTCCACTCATGGACAGGGAGAAGTCATCAGAATGGGAACATGCCTTACCCCATTTTCCTAGTCCCCTTGCCCAAAGAGGGAGTGGTAGCCTTTCTAGTAAGGAGAGAGTCAGCCACAGCAGCGTTCTCAACAGACTCGAGAGGACCTCTTTCTTCCTGGTCTTTTTTTCCCTTGATGTCTCGTCCTGTGTGACTCTGACCTTTTCCACCAAGGCCCTGGTCCTTGGAATGGCACCCTTCTGTACCACTCCACCAACACTCGCCTCCATTTATGGAGTATATGCCGTGCACCAAGCACTGTGCTCAGCTTATCTTATTTAATCTTTGCTTGCTATGAAGACCATGTTATTATTATTATTGTTTTGAGTCAGGGCCTCACTCTGTCGCCCAGACTGAAGTTCAGTGGCACGATCACAGCAATCATGCTCACAGCAGCCTCAACCTCCTGGGCTCCTCGAACTCCTGGGCTCAAGCGATCCTTCCACCTCAGCCTCCTGAGCAGCTGGGACTACAAGCATGCACCACCACACTTGGCAACTTTTTTTAATTTTTAATTTTTTTTTTGTAGAGATGAAGTTTTGCTCTGTTGCCCAGGCTGGTCTCAAACTCCTGGGCTCAAGCAATTCGCCCACTTTGGCCTCCCAAATTTCTGGGATTACAGGCATGAGCCACTGTGCCAGCCAAATATTATTATCATTACTCCCATATTGCAAGATGAAAAAAAATTGAGG